TCTCGCCGTGCCGGCGAGGAACGTGCGCAGGCCGGCCTTATTTCATGTCCCCTACGCAAGGGTCAACACTATTAAGCGCGGCTTGTTTGTCCGCATCCCGGAAGCCTGCAACGAGCTGATGAATGTCAGCCGAGAGGCCGATATATGGCACCAAAGCTCCTACCAGTGGAGACGTACCGTCCGTCAGACCGCTCAGCGTAACACGACTTAGAGAGTGTATGTATGTGTGTGAGACGTGTGTGATGTGCGTCCTTATGGTGCTGCATGTGTGCAGCGTTTTTATATGAGACTTCGTCCATTATTGGGTTTCTATGCCTGTGGATAATGAATCAAAAAAATAATAATAAAGTGGAGGCAGACCTGGACCAGCAGATCCAGCAGGGACTCTGGGAGCCAGTCAAACACAGTAAGTGGGCCGCTCCGTTAGTGGTGGTTCCGAAACCCGGCGGAAAGATCCGACTGTGTGGGGATTATAGGCTGACTATCAATAGGGCCGCACACGTAGAGCAGTATCCACTTCCACGGGTGGAAGAGCTTTTGACTAAGCTGGCCGGCTGCACATTATTTTCAAAGATAGATCTTAACTGTGCATACAATCAGATGGTACTCGATAAAATTAAAGGCTCACGGGAATATTTGACTGTCAACACATCCAGGGGTCTCCTGAGACCGACCCGACTCAGTTTTGGCTACGCCTCAGCGCCATCTCTGTTCCGAAGGACGATGGACCCGCTGCTAGCCGGGATCCCGGGCGTCTGAGTATTTTTGGACGACGTTGCGGTAGCGGGCACCACAGCAGAGTCACGGGGAGGCACTGCGCGTGGTTCTACACAGACTGAGTGAGGCAGGGCTTAAGGCGAGCCGGGAAAAGTGCTGTTTTGGCATGAAAAGTGTGACCTACTTGGGGCACAAAGTAAGCGGCAATGGGGTGGAAACAACCGATGACAAGGTCACGCACCAGTGCTCCCGAGCCGAGAGACGTCGCCTCTCTCCGCAGCTGGCTAGGCCTGGTAAACTACTATGGCAAGTTTTTGCAGGGCCTTGCATCAAAGCTCTCGCCCTTGTATGCACTTCTCAGAACCAACCGGCCATGGCGGTGGACAGAGGTTGAGCAGAGGTCTTTTGACGAGGCAAAAGGTCTGTTAAAAAATCCACCGGTGCTGGCCCATTTCGATCCAGCTCGACCGGTGATCCTGGCCTGCGACGCGAGTCCGGTGGGATTGGGCTGTGTACTCAGCCAACGGACGCCACAGGGAGAGCGCCCAGTCGCTTTCTACTCGAGGTCACTTAATGATAGACCTGGCAGTCATATCTGGGGTCAAAAAGTTCCACTACTACCTAGCGGGTCGTCCGTTTGTGGTTCGGACGGACCACAAATCTTTATTGGGCCTGATCGGGGAGATGAAACCGCTTCCTTTGATGGCATCTCCCAGAGTAGTTCGGTGGGCCCTCATGTTAGGCGCTTACGACTACCACTTGGAATATGCGCCCGGAGTACGACAGGCACATTGCGACGCCCTCAGCAGACTGCCGTTGCCTGCGGCCACCCTGTCTAGTCCCGTGCCCGCAGAGACGATCCATGTAATGGAATTTTTAGACGCTTCACCAGTGACTGTGGATCACATTTGATTGTGGACCTCCCGTGATCCAATCCTGTCCGCCGTGATGCATCGCGTTAAGAATGGGTGGCCGGCAACGGGAGATGTGTTATCGCCGTCTTTCCGACCGTATCGGTCTCGACAGGCTGAACTGAGTATTCAGGATGGATGCCTCCTGTGGGGCACACGGGTGGTCATTCCGGAGCAAGGGAAAAGCAAAATTTTGAAACTTCTTCATGATGGTCACAACGGCGAAACACTAACAAAATCATTCGCTCGCATGTACGGCCCTCCAGGTAGTGGTTGGTTGCCACCATCACAATAAGCAATCTGCATTGATGAATACGTCTAATGGCTGTTGAAAACCATTGCCGAAGTGTGTGCACGAACCCTCTTCTCATTTCTATTGAGTCATTTTACAGGAGTGTCTCTGTCATTCAAAGTTATTACACCAAAAGCACATAGGCTAACCAACCACTCTTTTGCTGGAGGGCCGTACGTGTGGTGGCCGAACCTCGATGATGACATCACAGCCAGTGCGAGGTGTGTCAGGCTCACCGGGCTAACGTACCCGAAACCCCAATTCATCCATGGGTATGGCCCACAAAACCGTGGGAGCGTATCCACGTGGACTACTGCGGGCCGGTGAACGGTTGGATGTTTTTGGTGGTCACAGACGCGCATTCAAAGAGGATGGACATATATCCGTCACGAACTTGTACCTCTGAGGTCACTATCGAATTCCTTCGTGAATGGTTTGCGACCTGGGGACTGCCGAAAACGTTTGCATCTGACAACGCTCAGCGTTTCATGTCGGAGCAATTTAAAGCATTCTGTCAATTGAATGGTGTCTGTCATCTGACCTCCCCAGCGCTGTCACCTAAGTCAAACGGATTGGCAGAGCGCAGCGTCCAAACTTTTAAAATGAGCATGCGTAAACAGACCACTGGCAGTGTGCGCACTAAAGTATCATGTTTTTTGTTCCGCTATCGTGTCACGCGACACTCAACTTCGGGTGTGACTCCTGTAGAGTAATTTTTAGGTAGGACGGTCCGCACGCCGTTAGATCTGGTGAAGCCGGACGTAGAGAGCAGAGTGAGGAAACACCAGACGAAACAAAAACTGTATGCTGATGGCGTGGCTGTCAGGAGCGTAGGGTGCGGGTGGGTGAAGCAGTGTATGTGGGAGCTGTAGACCGTTTACGGGGAATTTATTCACTGTCATATCATGGCTCTAAATTGTGGAATAGTTTGCCCACTAGAATGAGGAATGCCTCAAAATTTGAACTGAAAAAGTACCTCCTAGCAAAAGCAAACACTGACAACTGATGACCACGTTTCACCCAATGTGTGCGAATGTACTTGTATGTACCCTGTAGTGTACCGTTATATGTACCAACCATCACTGTTAACCGCATGAACAGACGTGTTGGAATTGGCAATGTGTGCGGATGTCCTCGCATATGCCCTGCAGTGTACCGTTAAACGTACCAACCATCATTGTTTACTGCATGAACAGATGTGTTGGAATTGGCAATGTTCCACTGTAACGCCCACCCGATGATCGTGGTTAGTGGAATAAACGATATAATAATAATAATAATAACAGAGAGGAGCAAATGGCTTGCAGGCGTGGTGGTAGAACAGCCTGGTGTTAAGGTTGCCGTTCAATTGCAGGATGGGAGCGTCATTTGGAGACACGTGGACCGGGTGCGCCGGCGGTCGGTGATGGCTGGAACTGAGGCCCGGCCGCCGCTCGTTCGCTAGTGGGACGGGAGCGCGGCCGTCTCCCCGCCGTGTGAGCCTCCCCGGCTGGACGGAGCGCGGCCGTCTCCCCGCCGTGTGAGCCTCCCCGCGGCCGTCTCCCCGCCGTGTGAGCCTCCCCGGCTGGACGCTGAGACCGCCGTGGAGGGAGCGCGGCCGTCTCCCCGCCGTGTGAGCCTCCCCGGCTGGACGCTGAGACCGCCGTGGAGGGAGCGCGGCCGTCTCCCCGCCGTGTGAGCCTCCCCAGCTGGACGCTGAGACCGCCGTGGCGCCGAGTGGGCGGCCGAGCCCCGCGGCCGCTGCGCCGGTCCCCGTGGCGCCGGCCTCCGCAGTCGCTCTGTCGGCCCCTCGGACACCGCATGTCCCCGATGTACCGCGCTACCATCTACGACCGCGCGATTCGCTGCGTCCGCCCCAGCGGTTTCAGTGTTCGTAGCACTGCGATTCAGTGATCTTATGTGTGTTGCTTAAAGCCTTTTTAGTAATGGTAACTATTATCTGGTTTGCGTTTCCAAGTGGTTTTGTGTTGAATGCTTGCTACTGTGGTTTTGGTGTTATAGTTTCATGGTCTAGGTTTTGCGAGGAACATTACCGAAATGCTCCGGGGTGGAAGGGTGTAATAGTTTGAACCCTGGACCCGCCCGTGTGCGCTGCGTCTGTACCCTGGACCCGCCCGTGTGCGCTGCGTTTGAACCCTGGACCCGCCCGTGTGCGCTGCGTTTGTACCCTGGACCCGCCCGTGTGCGCTGCGTTTGAACCCTGGACCCGCCCGTGTGCGCTGCGTTTGAACCCTGGACCCGCCCGTGTGCGCTGCGTTTGAACCCTGGACCCGCCCGTGTGCGCTGCGTTTGAACCCTGGACCCGCCCGTGTGCGCTGCGTTTGAACCCTGGACCCGCCCGTGTGCGCTGCGCCCGCCACTGTGAGCCTGCGCCCGCCACTGTGAGTCAGAGTGGCCTGACCTCGCCTCGGGCGGCGGAGCCCAGGCTGGGGTGTGTCTGCCTGAAATAAACAGTTCAGTTCGGGACGCCACTGCGTCTGTTTCAGGCCCTCTCCTTCTCAGGCATAATATGGTACCTCCCAGACCTTGCCCATGGGCCCTTTCATTTAAATGGGCCCTCTCAGACGTGGCATGGGGCCTCTTTAGCCCGGACCCTTTCTACAGCCTGAGAAGATAGGACAGGGCCACAATCACCCAAGATACAAAAATAAATGATTTTGTTTCACCTTTTTTTTTGCTAAATTGGGCCCTTTTGAAAAACATGGGCCAAAGCCCGTAAGTTTTATCGTAGCGGCGGCATCTTGAGAAGGCCCCTTTGGCTTGATTCCCCACTCCTGAAGTCATTTATACAGCTCTGCCCAGAAAGCTGCTTTCTGCACACCCAGAGAGCATTCCGTCCACAGCCTGACTGCTGGCTGAAAGAGTGCGCCAGTGTTCAGAGTTGGGGTGGGGGCTGCTGCCCTGTGGCGCCGTCCCTGGCAGTGGGCCGGCTGTGGCCCAGTTCAGAGTTGGTGTTCAGAGTTGGGGTGGGGGCTGCTCCCCTGTGGCGCCGTCCCTGGCAGTGGGCCGGCTGTGACCCAGTTCAGTGCGCTCAGCGCTGCCCCCGCTCTCTCGTCCATCTCCGCTGTAAACCAGACAACGAGGGCCCGCTGCCGCTTCATTTACCATCAGCCACCGACGGGCAAAACATTTCCGACACACCACCACGGCGTCGAGCACTGCGCGCGCGGGCCGCGGTCCGGCTGGCTCAGAAGTACTGCTGCAGTGACTCGCCCAGAGTGGCCTCCATCTGGCCGATGAGCGCCTGGGTGGCGGCCTCGACGCGCGGCTCGTCGTCCTCCAGCAGCTCGGCCAGGAACGGCATCGTCTCGGGCAGCAGCGCTAGGTAGTCGTCGCCGAGTCGGGCGTGCACGGCCGAGAGCGAGGCCACGGCGTCCAGCCGCACCTGAAGGCAGCCCGTACTCAGCCACACAGCCAGCCCATACACACACTGACGGCGCAGCACGACACTGTCGGAGCGGCACAGCACTCCGAACACAGCACATTCCATACACTGGTCACCTGCACCATTGGACAAACCGAACACAACACATTCCATACACTGGTCACCTGCACCATTGGACAAACCGAACACAACACATTCCATACACTGGTCACCTGCACCATTGGACAAACCGAACACAACACATTCCTTACACTGGTCACCTGCACCATTGGACAAACCGAACACAGCACATTCCATACACTGGTCACCTGCACCATTGGACAAACCGAACTCAACACATTCCATACACTGGTCACCTGCACCATAGGACAAACCGAACACAGCACATTCCATACACTGGTCACCTGCACCATAGGACAAACCGAACACAGCACATTCCATACACTGGTCACCTGCACCATTGGACAAACCGAACACAACACATTCCATACACTGGTCACCTGCACCATTGGACAAACCGAACACAACACATTCCATACACTGGTCACCTGCACCATTGGACAAACCGAACTCAACACATTCCATACACTGGTCACCTGCACCATTGGACAAACCGAACTCAACACATTCCATACACTGGTCACCTGCACCATTGGACAAACCGAACACAGCACATTCCATACACTGGTCACCTGCACCATAGGACAAACCGAACACAGCACATTCCATACACTGGTCACCTGCACCATTGGACAAACCGAACACAACACATTCCATACACTGGTCACCTGCACCATTGGACAAACCGAACACAGCACATTCCATACACTGGTCACCTGCACCATTGGACAAACCGAACTCAACACATTCCATACACTGGTCACCTGCACCATTGGACAAACCGAACACAACACATTCCATACACTGGTCACCTGCACCATTGGACAAACCGAACTCAACACATTCCATACACTGGTCACCTGCACCATTGGACAAACCGAACTCAACACATTCCATACACTGGTCACCTGCACCATTGGACAAACCGAACACAGCACATTCCATACACTGGTCACCTGCACCATAGGACAAACCGAACACAGCACATTCCATACACTGGTCACCTGCACCATTGGACAAACCGAACTCAACACATTCCATACACTGGTCACCTGCACCATTGGACAAACCGAACACAGCACATTCCATACACTGGTCACCTGCACCATTGGACAAACCGAACACAGCACATTCCTTACACTACTGGTCACCTGCACCATTGGACAAACCGAACTCAACACATTCCATACACTGGTCACCTGCACCATTGGACAAACCGAACACAGCACATTCCATACACTGGTCACCTGCACCATTGAACAAACCGAACACAGCACATTCCTTACACTGGTCACCTGCACCATTGGACAAACCGAACTCAACACATTCCATACACTGGTCACCTGCACCATTGGACAAACCGAACACAGCACATTCCATACACTGGTCACCTGCACCATAGGACAAACCGAACACAACACATTCCATACACTGGTCACCTGCACCATTGGACAAACCGAACACAGTATATTCGCTGGACTATGTGCCAATACTGTGCCACCTCCCGTGCTCTGGCGCGCCCGGTCCGTACCTGCGGCGACTGGTGGCGCGTCTTCAGCAGCAGCTGGTGGTTGGCCGGCTTCCAGAGTGAGTCGTCGCCGGCGGCGGCCAGGAACGCCACCAGACAGGGCACCAAATGACCGTGCACACGCCGCTGGCGGCGCTCCTCGGCGCCCTGCTCGTTCTCCAGCTGCCGGCACGGGCGGCCCCGTCAGACACACCCGCTGGCCATGTGGTCTGCTATATGTACAATGTACCTACATGCGTGTGCTTGTCGTGTGAATCATAGACGTAGGAACGTTTTCCAAAGTGTGTGTGTGTGTGGGGGGGGGGGGGGCAGGCTCCCAGAGGTCTACAACCTAAACCTACCCCCAAAATCCAATTTCTCCTCGGATTTCGGCCACTTTGTTTTCGCAATCATGCTCAAGGTAAAAAAAAAATCGAGACAAAAAATGTTTAAAATTTCAGGGAGACTGCCGTCCAGAAACTCATCCTGATGGACGCGTCCCCCTGTCCTCCGCAGCCGTTGGCACCTATGCAAATAAGAGAGGCATCCAGAAAAGAATCTTATTACGAGCGAGTGTGAAACGTGCAAAGCGAGTCTTTTCAATATACCTATAAAAATCAGCATGAACGGCCCAGCTAGGCTCAGCTAGGCCTGCAACGTTTTTAAGATGTTTATATATCAGCGACCTCTGCAACTGGGCTGATTGACTTATGAAAGGCCGGTGTGGGCAGTGTCCCAAAATTTGCTAGTTTTGGGTGGGAAGTGACATCCAATTGAAATCAATTTTCCACTATCATCTTCAATTTTCCAGAACAATTTTTCACTCCCAATTTTACCAATAAAGAGCACTTGCACGTACGTTTGCTGGCTGGCTTTCCTACCTCCATATTGCATTAAATCATCTTATAATGCAGCTCCCACGTTCTCCAACATTTACAAACAAAAAAAAATTGATGATCCCTGTTTCAACTTTTAGTGCCTTTCTTACTGGCAATTTTCCACTCTCAGCCCTCTTTGCAGTGCGGAGTATCTTCCTCTTACACCCAAGCCAAAGTAAAATTTTGGGACGCTGGTGTGGGACCTTTAGAGGCCGGTTGGGCCCTCAGAGACCAGGGCCTGCAAAGGGCAGTTTGAGACCTTTAGAGACCGTCTTCGGTCATCAGTGGCTAATGTGGGTCATTACAGACCAGCATGGGCCCTAAGAGGTCAGTGTCGGACCCTAAAAGACCGGCATGGGCCGGCGTTGGACCCCTAAGGCCAGGATGGACCCTCAGAGACCGATGCGGACCCTAAGAGGCCGGCATCGGGTCTTCAGAATTCAGTGCGGGGCCCTCAGAGGCACCTAAAGGTTAGTCTTGGGACCCCAGACACAGAAATGAGGCCACCTGAGGCTGGTTTAGGGACCCTCGAATGCCAGTGGAGGGCCCTCAGAGGTCAATGTGGGTTCTCACTTATTAGCGGTCAATGTAGGCACTTGACCGCTACTGAAGGGCCCTCCGAGATCAAGTGTACATAGGCGGCGGAACGGGGAGGGCACCGGGGCACCGTGCCCCCTTTGATTTGAGCCTTTTAACATTAGCCCTATGGGCGTTGCATGGAAAGAATGGGACCAAAAGTCGGCAGTGCCCCCCTTAACCCGCGCACCGACGGGGGTCTGCGCCAACTTCGCACCGACGGGGGGGGGGGGGGCGGGCGGATGACCCCCTGAGATCTCGAGAACGAAGCAAGATAGCGACAAGCGGTAAACGGCATCGGATACGCACGGTCAAGATCTACAATTTTTACAAAGGTCATTTTCAGGTCAAGTCAAAGATGACGTCACAGGGGTCGAAAAAGTCAAAATGGCGGTGCTAGATATGGAGAGTTTTTCTCGAATAACTTTCGAATGAGTCAAGATAGGAACAAACTAAGGGCATCATCGTGATCCCCTCGTCAATCCGCATCGAATGATATATATGTTGACCTCGAAAGGTCAAGGTCAAAGGTTGACCTCAGGTCACGTGACCTCGAGGTCATCATGTATATCATTCGATGCGTCTTGACGAGCTGAACACAATGAGACCATCCACGCGGCTGTATCTTGTTCCTGTACGGAGTTATTGGCCAAAAACCTTTGGTGACCTTTGATGACGTCACATGACCTCACAGCTGCCCAACAGCAAAACAGACCTCAAGGTAGTGAAGGTTGATCATTTATGAAGTCATGTATGGTATATGGGGCCATTCCGACCCGTTTTTTTTTAATTTATTTAACCCACAACACAAATCACAAACACATCGGACACAGCTGACATCAAGTCATCAACTTCTCCACATCCACCACACCCGTCGCGTCGCCACAGGCTGCGCCTCACCCTCTCAACCCCACACACAAAGAACGGCCAATCTCGCACGAGCCAACGCAGCTAAAGATTGTAAAAAAAGCACAAAAAGGCACAACATCGCCATCGCAGCCGCAGCAGCGGACGGACCAAGCACCGGCACCGGCAGCAGCAGCAGCAGCAGCAGCAGCAGCAGCAGCAGCAGCAGCAGCAGCGGCAGCAGCAGCAGCAGCAGCAGCAGCAGCAGCAGCAGCAGCAGCAGCAGCAGCAGCAGCGGCGGCGGCAGCAGCAGCAGAGGCAGCAGCCGCGGTAGCAGCGGAGGGCGAAGATAGAGAGGGACAAGGTGGGACGAGGATGAGGGGCTAATGTTCGGCTCGTTTGAACGGTGTGTGTGTGTGTGTGTGTGTTTTGCGTATATGTATCTGTGTCCCTTATATGTATATGTGTGTCTGTACCGAGCATGAATGTAAGGAGTCGTTAATTTATATCGAGATAAGGTGACCACTATCAAGTGTTGGTAGTATTCTGAGCCTTTCCCACTTTTCTCCAAATTCAGTCAACTTATTACGTCTTCCCGCAAGGAGACGTTCTTTCTCAAACTCTAATTTCAATTCATTAAAAAAATGTTGCACTGAGGGTTTTGTTTCTTGCTTTTTTGCCGAGTAAATGGCCACTTTCGCTAAAACATACACAATAACTTCAGTGCTTTCGCAGTCATTGAGATTTGGAAAGAACCATTGCTTCTTGTTGAATTTATAATCAATTCCAAAACGTGTTCTAAGAACATTGCAAATTTCACTTATATACTCCTTAACTAAAGCGCAGTCCCAGAATAGAATTCCGACCCGTTTTAGTGGTAAAAACAGGGAGTTGATTTTCCCCCATTGACTTATAATGGGGAGGTTGCGAAATTGACCTGACCTTAGGTCACCGATATCAAAATTCCGAGATATACAAATTGTAGCTATTAATGACCTAATAACATCCTGCGACTTTCAAAGGCCTCCGACATCTACTGTAGCTCTGGCACGGTGACAAAGTTGCAAAAAGTGAATTGAGGTTGGGTCATTAAAAGTGACCTGGTGACCTGACCTTAAAAGGTAGGAGGTTCAAACTTGCACACCATGTGTAAAATTGATGAGGAAATAGTCATTCCAAATTTCGCGGCGCTACGCGCCGCGGTTTTCCCGCTATTCGCGAAAAACCTCAGGGGGGGGGCGGATATCCGCCCCCCGTCGGTGCGCGGGTTAATTGAAGGTTTTCCGCCGCTACTGTCAGTGTCTGTCAGTGTAGGACCCTCAGAGACCGGTATGGGCGCTGTTAACCCGCGCCGTGCTGGGGGGTGTGTTTGAACACCTCCTGTATTTTTTCGCGAATATCTCAAAAACGGCGGCGCTGACACACCATATCATACATCAATACTACACATGTTGTGAAAATTTCAGGCCAAGGTCATTCAAGGTCACGTCACCAGGTCACTTGAAGTGACCACACCTCATAAAAAGTTTCAATGTCTCCCATATCTACACATAGTGACCGATCGCTTTGAAACTTTGAGATGTTGCTAACAGCAATAGTGTGTACAAAATGTACGCCTCAGAATTTTGATATCGATGACCTAAGGTCAGGTCAATTTTGCGACATCCTCAAGTCATCATAAGTCAATGGGAGAAAACTGAAATGCGCCTCTTTTGGACGAAAGCCATTATAAACACTCCCAAACACTGAATTACAAGTAACTTAGACACACTGAACATGAAAATGGTGTCCGTGACGACCCCTGTTTATGCCCCTCAGGTCATCTCAGATCACGAATGGTGTCTAACAGTTTTTTTTCTCGCGAATAACTTTTGATAGAGGCATAGTAGAGCGATGAAAACACCTGAGATGTGTTCATTTCGACGATACAGATCGATTGATATGCAACATGACCCTTTCCGGTCAGGTCATGACCTTGACCTGAGGTAAAATTTTCAAGTTGACATTTCGAAGTCAAATTATAGGTAGTTCATTCGATGCGTCTTGACGAGAGGAACACGATGCCGGTAAAACTAAGCTCGTGCATGGCTTGAGTGAAAAGTTATTGCAGAAAAACTTCCGAAAAAACGGTTGTTTTGGCAGTTTTTGCCCCCTGCAGGTAAAACCGCTGACGTTAGGTGAAATCTGAGAGAATTATTCAGAAAGGTCGTTGATAGGGCGCTTTTCGAATGCGCTTTTCCACGGCGCTGCAGCTCTATTGGTTCCCGAGTTATGCGTTGGCTTTTGCCTTCAATGACCTCTGGTGACCTGACCAAAAAAGTGACCGGAGTGATTTCGTCATTATTTTTGGCGCTATTTCGAACGCCGCCTTTCGCGTATCGCTACGTGGCCCAGGAGCCGAATTATAAGGGGGTGTTTAAACACCCCCCCAACAGGGCGTGGAAATCCAGGACCCCAGCCAGGACCCCCCAGGGGGGGGGGGGGGGCAAACGGCCCCCCTGTCCTTTTCCGTCGATATCTCCTAAACGGCTGGAGATATCGCCACCAAACTTTCAGAACCCCTCCCGGCATCAATATTACACGTTGTGACCAATTTTTTTTTCCAGAGGCTACGATAGGTTGGCCACAAACGACGTCAGAATGACGTCATGTTCTGTCATTTTCGACCGAAAAAAGACCTTCGCGAGAAGACCTGTCAGGCCTACAGCTTTGAAGATACAGAAAAATGATCAAACATAAAAGGTGTAGAATTGACAGGGCTACAAAACTGCTATCTCGGATTTTTAAAATTTTTGAGTTTTGAACCCCAAAAATCAAAAAAGCATTTTATTGGATACATTAGCCAAAAAAATCCCAAATGTTTTTTGAGTTAAAAACAGAATA